GCCCACTGTTTCTGCATCTTCATGAGGCCCGGATGAAAGCAATTACTTACCAAAATAAGTGTTAAATTCCCTTCTTTTGACACAGATTGCCTCTGTGTCATATTTTTGACCACATATCAGTTTAAATTGCTCCCTTCATAACTCTCCAGCCCTGATGTCCAGGGACCTAAATTTATTTTATATCTAAGTACATAATATTTGAATGACCTTATGAAAGTGCATGTAAAACTGTGAGCTGTATAGAGCAAACTCCAGATGATGTAATTAGCAATCATATTTTTTAATTTTATTTACCAGAAATTATATTTAATGGAGGCAAGAAAATAAATCAAAATCACTGTAGTGAGACAGCAGTAATATTATATTATGTGTTTTGAACTGTGATGTTTCATTTAGGATTATTTTCCAAACATACACTTTTTATGGAATTCATCTGATTTTGTGTATAAGCAAGCTCTCACCACATCTAAAGTATATTGAAGTTAGCTAAATAAAATGGTAAATCCAATAAGCATTGTTGAGATATAATTCTTAGTCTGGATTGAAATCTGCGCAGACATCAGTCCTCTGATGCTTTGAGCCACTGGCAAGGGGAGAGAACACTTCATTTATCACAGAAATCTGTGCTCTTCAGCAGAGGTGCTGCAATTTCAACTAATCCAGCTTTGCATGCTATCAGTGTTTACTTTGGAAAGATTTTTTTATCAGTTTTCCTGAATGTTTAATGCCAAAGCAGTAAGACCGTACTTCTTGTCAGATCTAGCTACTGCCATTTCAGTTACATCATCTTAGGTTCTTAACAGTTCTTCTTTAATTTAATTCTGTGGCACCCCTGTGACTTGAATCTGTTATTAATGTACACAGGTTCACAGCTGTTATCCCATATCAGTCACCTCTGAAAATGTGCTCAGATAGTACTTGTATTAACACCAATGTGTGTCAACCATTAAAGACACTGAAAACAATGTATGGGTTGAGTCCTATAGTCCAGACATCACTGGTTCAAGCCTAAACTATGATATTAGTAAGGTGTGATTGGGATTCCCGATGTAGGATCCCATATGTGCCCACTTGCCTGTCTGGCTAAATTAACATAACTCTGTCAGTTTGTTCTGTTGCCAGTCAGATCCACATTACTCTTCCAAATAGTGCTACTGCACACGTACAGTATGTTTCTGTTGGATTCAGAGAGCAAAAAATGCCAATTGACTCTTACAGATGCAGGTGTGAGAAAAGAGAATACTGTTCTCATTCTTTTCATTGTGACATATAAATGAGATTGTAAGATTGGGGCAGTGCGGTGGCTCTGTGGCTAAGGATCTGCGTCTGTGACTGGAAGGTTGCCTGTTCATATCTTGAGCAGAGGAATCCTACTCCTTTGGCCCCTGAGCAAAGCCCTTAACCCCAACTGCTCAAGGGGGTACCGTATAAATAGCTTCTCTCCCTGTCTGTGTGTCTCATGGAGAGCAAGTTGGAGTATGCGAAAAGACAAATTCCTAATACAAGTAATTGTATATGGCTAGTAATAACCCATACTGTCATTCCAAATTAAAAAAGATCATTTTTCATTTAGATAGACAGATACTTTATTGATCCCGTGAGGGAAATGGCAGTGCAACAGCAGCTTTACACAGACAACACAGCCACAGTGTAACGAATGATACAATAATAATAATAGTACAATACATACAATACAATCTACAATCAGTACGGTGAGGGGTGCACTAAAAGAGTTACTCACAGTCCAGACACACAAAGAACAAACTAGAACAGAACAGTACGCAGAAAAATCATATCACACATATGAATATAAATATAGATGTAAATATAGATATAGATATAAATATAAATGTATTGCACGGGTCCCTGGCATTTATTGCACAAAAAAAGGTTGTAAATGGGAAAAGAAAAGAAAGAGAACAGATGTAGCAGTAGATGTGTAGATGCATTCAGTCCAGAAACAGGTCACTGTCAATGTTGCCTCTGCCCAGACGCGAGGTGGATGCGTTGTACAGTCTTATGGCAGAAGGCAAGAATGACCTCCTGTAGCGCTCCCTGTCGCACCATGGATGAATCAGTCTATTGCTGAACGTGCTCTTCATTTCTGTCATAGAGGGAATGGAAGATGTTATCCATGATGGCCTCTAGTTTGGACACCATTCTCCTCTCAGCCACTACCTCCAGGGGGTCCAGGCCAGACCCAATGACAGAGCTTGCTCTCCTGATGAGCTTGTTCAGTCTTAGAATCCACTGCTCTAATCCCAGGGCCCCAGCATACCACTGCGTAGAAAATGGCGCTCGCTGCCACCGACTGATAGAACATAATTAGCATTTTACTACATGCATTGAAGGACCTGAGCCTCCTCAAGAAGTAAAGTCGGCTCTGTCCCTTCTTATATATGGCCTCGATGTTCTTACACCATTCCAGTCTATCATCGATGTGCACTCCCAGGTACTTGTACGAGTCCACCATCTCCACGCCACTCCCATGGATGTAGACAGGAGTAGGTTTGACCTTTTTCCTCCTGAAATCTACCACCAGTTCCTTTGTCTTTGTTACATTCAATTCCAAGTGGTTCACCCCACACCACTCCACAAAGCTGCTGACCAGTCCTCTGTACTCCTCCTCCTCCTCACCCTTGATACATCCCACAATTGCAGAGTCATCTGAGAACTTCGGCAGGCGGCATGACTTTGAGTTGTACTTAAAGTCTGAAGTATAGAGGGTGAAGAGGAATGGAGAAAGAACTGTCCCTTGAGGTGCCCCTGTGTTACTCACTACCTGTTCAGACACACAGTTCTGAAGTCTCACAGGCTGTAGTCTGCCTGTCAGGTAGTCAGTGATCCACGAGTTCATGGAGGCATCGACTTGCATCTCCTCCAGCTTCCTCCTTAGAAGTAAGCGCTGGATGGTATTGAAGGCACTGGAGAAGTCGAAAAACATGATCCTTACAGTGTTGCCAGCCCTGTCCAGGTGTGAGTAGGCCCTTTGCAGCATGTAGATGATCGCATCCTCCACACCAACACTGCGCTGGTAGGCGAACTGTAGGGTGTCCAGTGATGAGCTGACCAGGGGTCTCAGGTGGGATAAGAACAGCCTCTCCAGTGTCTTCATGACGTGTGAAGTCAGTGCAACTGGTCTGTAGTCGTTGAGGACAGAGGGGGGCCCTTTCTTTGATACTGGGACCAGGCATGATGTCTTCCAGAGCACCGGGACTCTCTCCAAGCGCAGGCTCAGGTTGAACAGTCGCTGGAGCACTCCGCTCAGCTGATCAGCACAGGCCCTCAGAACCCTGGGACAGATGTTAGCTGGTCCTGTGGCCTTACCCTGGTGAAACCTCTTCAGCTCCTTCTTCACCTGGTCAGCCGTGATGGTCAGCCTGGCCTGGGGGATGGTGCTCATAGCGCTTTCAGTGCTGCAGGTGTTAATGGGGGAGGTGTTGGACAGTGGCAGCTGCGGGGGATGGGTGGGTGAGTAGCTGTCGGGGGTTGTAGCTGTAGGCGGCCATGGTTGTGGAGGGATGGAGGAGGTGTTGGGCAGTCGCAGCTGTGGAGGGTTAGGGGCTGTGGGGGGATGGGTGTTGAGCCACAGAGGACCCAAAATCAAACCTGTTAAAGAACTGGTTCAACTCGTTGGCCATCTCCAGGTTCCCCTCTGTTGCACCCCCAGCCTGTTTGAAGCCAGTGATCTCTCTCATGCAGCTCCATACATCCCTCACCCTATTCCTTTGCAGCTTGTCCTCTACCTTCCTCCTGTAGGCGTCCTTGCTCTCTCTTAACTTCTGCTTTAGCTCCCTCTGTACGCGCTTGAGCTCTTCCTTATCCCCCCTCCTAAAGGCTCTCTTTTTTTATGCATATACTGTACATAAGTGAGAAGTTAAAACTCTTCATTGTCATGTATGCAATTATTTCCAGTAGTTTGTAGCTGTGTGCCATCAGGGACTTGAATCAACTGTTATTTTGGCTCTCTGCTTCCACGAATGACATCTAAAGGTTAAAGAAAGGATTCACTGAAATTGCTTTGACATGCTCACTCCCAATGGCAAAAGTGTACTAAAGAAGATCATATTAAAGTAGCACATTTACCTTGGGGAACTCCGTGTGGCCCAGTGGTTAAAGTGGAATGCATGAAGTCAGGAGGCCTATTTTAGAATGAAGCCAAGCTAACACCTTTCACTGTAATTCTGTAGGGGAGTGTACAAGTCACTTCACATTACTGGCTCAGAATCACACAGCTGTCAATTAACATATGAGGAGTGTGGAGGAAAAGGGGTGTGTTACTTGAGTGGGCCTTGATAATTAACATCTTTAGTATTCTACTGAAGGGTATCTCTCAATCACTGTGACAGGTTTTTTATACTTCCAAGTAACGTGTGAGTCCGATTTGTTTTTAGTTGAATGCAGTGGATACTGGAATGGGGCCGTTAGAGCTCAACTCACTTGGCATAGAGCGATACATCAGATTGCAGTGGCTGTCACACACAGCAGACTGAAGAGTGTCCTGAAGAAGCTTTGTGTTTGACTTTGTGCATCTCCTCCCAGTTCAGAACATTTTAAAAAAAAACATTGTGGAGCGTGATGTAAAAAGTGCATAACCATTTTTCTTTTTCTATGACAGTTGTTTTTTATGAAAATCCATTATATATGGTGAAAACATTTCTTGATCACATTGCACCCAGATTTGATAGAAGGATATAAATTAACCTCTAGTTATGTTGCACAGTTTCACATCACTGCTGTGCTTGCCAGTGTTCTAGATAAAAAAGAGAGACATCACTGAATACTACTGGATCACTCTTCAGCTACCTGAAATAAAATCACTAACAGTTGAATGAGACCAAAAATCCAAATATCACCAGGCATCACACAATTACAAAGTTATTTCGAAACATGAATGTTATTAAAAGGAAACATTTGACCTTTTTTGTTTTATCCATCATACTGGTACAGTTGCAGTTTTCCACGTGGCATTGACTTATTTTTCCCCTGTCTGTCCTCAGTACCTACAGCCCCACCTCAGGATGTTGAGGCAGAGGCCATAAACTCAACCACTGTGAAGTTCTTCTGGACTCCTCCCCCGCAACAGTTTATTAATGGGATCAATCAAGGTTACAAGGTAAGCTGTCTCAATACCATACAGTATTTCAGTTGACTGTTCACTAAAAATCAGGTGATGCCTAGCAATTTGTCTGACTAGGTTTTGGTTTTAGGTTTTGCTTTCATTTTTGCTTGTTTTCATTTAATCAAGATGGATTTGAGCCAATGAGCATAGGTCAAACTTTTCTTCAATACATTTTAGCTGCCAACAATGCCTCTAACTCTAGACTGGAGTTAAGTCAGATTTGTTGTTCACAATTTCAATTGGAAAATCTGTCCCATCAACCTTTGCACCTATAACACCACCTGAGGACATTTTTAAACACCAAGCCTAATTTGCAGCATTGGATTTTCAACACTTCTATTCTTTAAGGAGACTCAAGTGCTAGCCTGGCCAGACTCTGTTAAGCTTCTTAGACCTGACACTATAAAAATACAAGGCAGCAGAGCTTTGGGCTATTTCTCAGTGTCGGGTAGATTCAAATTGAAGCTAATGGAGATTCAGTATCATCCAGATCTGGTAGGCATGCTAAAGGTAAACTTAGAAATTTGACACATGAAGAATTGGAGCCTGCAAGCCTAAATTGAAGTTTCAGTTACTCTAGGAGCATACTGAAGTCAAAGAAAGTCTTTTTTTTGCTTAGCTGGCTTAATTGATGTTTCTTTCTTCTTATGGCAGAAGTACCTTTCATTGATTTGTAAAAGGATCTAAGCCAGTTATCTTATGGGTTATGTTGTTGTTTGAAATGTTATTTTATTTTTGTCATTGAAAAACAGCACTGACAGTTGTTGTAAAATTAATTCACTAATGATATTCTGGGAAGCATTTTTACTACATGTGTGGAATTGCTTCTACATGGTATTCACACAGATAAGTTTTTGTGCCAGTTTCCATGTACTCCCTGAGTTTACCCTATACTGACAGCTTCAGCTGTGACCTAAAGAAAATCTCTGTGTAGAAATTATTTTTGACAGTTGTACAATGTAACCTACAGTGAAGCTCTTGGCAGCATTGGTATTCAGCTGAAAATAGTTGATAATATTTCCCTGTGGTTTCCAAAGAAAATTGATATGAGTTATTTTTTTACTTGTGTTCAATATTATTCTCACCTCGCGATCAGTGTTTGTTAAATTTTTAATGTTAAGTAAGCTAGAAAAAGTGCTTATTGTGTCCTTGTAATACGTTTGAGCACTATTCAGTAGGTATTTTAAAAATTCCTACAGCAGACCTTCTCCAGCACCTTCAGATTATGCAGCTTGTGCTTGTGAACTGCTATCTTTAGTTCATACAAGCGTTCTATTGGATGGTAGGCCAATCCTGCTAGAAAGTCAATTTGTAAACAAGCTTGAGCTTCTTAGCGAATGAAACAGTTTTCCGGATGAAATAATGTGATATACCATCCATCACTCAGTCATAACAAAGGCATTTGGACAAGAGAATGCCGAACAGCCATAAAGCAGAACAGATCCATTTCTGTTCTTTACATTCGTTTGTAACAGACATTTCACTTTCTGTATCAAACTCTCCAGTGTTACTGTCCAAAATCGTAATTTTTATTTCATGCAACTGAAGCCACTGAATGTCTCTGTCTTTTCAAAGTCCTACTTTTTGACCTATTTTTCTATCAAAAGAAAGTTATACAATATAGAAGTATTTATTTTTTTCTTCAAAACAAACAATTCAGTTTATAAAGGAATTTGTGTTAAAAAATTTTCTGTTGTTTGGCTACATACATTTAATACATAAAATGAATTAATCTACATTATACACATTTGTATGATTACTCTTTTTTTCAGCTCCTAGCATGGCCGGAGCATTCACCTGAAACTGTTGCTATAGTAACAATCACTCCTGATTTCCATGGGGCCCGCCATGTTGGATATATTAGCGGGCTACGGAAGTTTACCCGTTACCTGACATCTGTGCTGTGCTTCACAACACCAGGAGACGGGCCCAGCAGCTCCCCACAGCTTGTGCAGACACATGAAGACAGTAAGTGTCAGACATTTCTTAATCAAAACTTCTTATTGACTGTGAAAAGAGAACGGTAGAACAAGAAAAACTTGTCTGACAATGATAATGGGTTTTTTTATGTTTCACGGGGGTAGAGAGGTCGAGGATTCAGATCCTGAGTGCGGCCCTGCTGTTAAGACTTTGAGCAAGGTCCTTCACATTCTTTCAGTCATATGCTGAATGCAAATACTGGTTTCTCTGGATAAAAGCACAAGCCATATAAATTAATATATGTATTTAAAATATATGGATTCTGTTTTTAGGGTTCTCTGGTAGCACTGTAAACAGAAGAAACTGACACCTGAAGAAGGCTCCACAGCCGAAACGTTGTGTTCTCTTTCTTCTTTTTTTCAGCATGGAATAAACCTATTACTTGATCCTTTACTGTAAACAGAATGCTGTTTTAAACGTGCCTCTGTGTTTTGAGTTTTCTTGTGCTTTTTGTTGCTTTCAGCTACACTCACATATCTTTTTTTCCCTCTAGCATAGCACAGAAAAGGAGTACTCTTTATATTTTAAAATGATGTTAATATAGTAAGAATTACAAATTAACATTAGTGCAGAGAAATGTGATGAACATAAAAGAATGTTCAATTTCTATGTTAAAGCTAGCCAAACTAGTGATTAGCTGTCTCCATTCTCATACAATCTGTGTATCGGTAATATGATGAGGCCATGATAAACCACTCTGTGGTGTATCTGATTTGAATGTACAGCGTATTCTAAAGGAAGACAAATGTGTGAATGAGAGATAACTATAGCGATGTTAAGTTCCTAATTCCACATGCCGTTACCTGACAGCCATGAAGTCTTATCTGGCTAAAAAAGACATTTTAATTCGAATGTGCAACTGTAATGATAAGGTCTTACAAGTCAAGATACAAGGTAACATTTGCTAAACTCAGCAGTGCTTAAAATATCACAACATAACTTCACCATGGGTTTCTGCATTCCTAACAAACGTCAAATTGATACTGACTGTTTTGATTCATGTGTTTTAACTGTTAATCCTAAATCACACATTGTTGTGCTGTAGTGCTGATCAGCTTCTGAATAAAATAAATTAACTTTAAAGAACAGTACAGTAGTTTTAAATGAATAGAATGGATTTTTAAAACTCCAGAATTTAGAGAAGTCCAAAGTTTAAAATTGTATAATATGTTCCTTTGAATTTAATTGATTATGTATTGCATATAGATAAATGTTAATATTACAAAAACACTTGATCCTTTTTCCTTGCAAAATGTTTTTTTAACACTGGTGCAGAACAATGAAATCAAAAAGTTAAAACATCTGTTTTAGAGATAAAAAATGAGTGGATATTGAATGATTTCTCACAACTCCATTTCTTAAAACAACTGAGAAAATCCTAGAACACCGAGCAAAGAACAGTAAGATCTCTCTATTTCTCTATTGAGTAAAATCTGCAAGACATTCTTATGTTTCACAAACTTCTAAACTTTTTTTTCACATCAGAATCAGCTTTTGTTTTTTTATGTGTCACCTAGTTTTGTCAGGTTTCATCAGATTAACCAGTAGAATCATTTCGCGAGCAAAGGACTGATGAAGACAACAGACACTGGTTGGATCTCTAATGGGCTATTCATGCTTTTTTTTTGCACTGAATTCCCACAGCGCCAACCTCAAAGCTAAGGTGGAGCAGAGAGGACAGTTGGGGCCCTAACCTTTTGCACTACAAGCTCGTAACAGATTTGCAAGTCACAGGGGTAATCATTGGGCTGTAAGCCAAGAATGTCATTAGTGACTTCAACTTAACACAACTCCAAAAGCGCAGGGCCCTTTTGTAAGTCAGCATTTGGGAATCCTGTTTGTTGTTGGTTAATGGTATTGTAAAGGTTCAGAAGAGTGATCTGTGGTCTTTAGGGTCCAACCCAAGCTCTGAATAATTTTCAGCTTTTGAACCTCTCAGTTGAATCACCTTCTTGTCAGGTTCAATAAAATAAGGTGGATACGGTCAACATGTTGAGACTATGTATTTTCAGTACATGTAAGTACTGCAAGGTAGTGAATTACAGTGCTAGAAATCCAATTACTTGTGCTATAGATACAGTAGCCATCCAGTATGACACTGTGCATTCAGCTAGAGTCAACTGTTTTGTAGCAGTGATCTACTGCTTGCCTCTCAAGGAAACAGCAACAGACAGATGAAATGCAATAATATATGTCCTGTCTGTCTCCAGAACTCTCTCTCTCCCCCTGTTCAGTGAATTACAACTTATAACAAATATATGGATGTTTCATTTCATAAACAGGGATATTTATAAATTCATTGCTCTCCCTCTGCCAGCAGGTTTCCTTTTCCGTGAAATCAATATTGTCGGTGATGTATCTCAAATATCTTGTTTTTGTAAAAAAAAAAGCCTGTTCTAAGAGCCTACCGAGGGCACAAGTTTTTCTTCTTTCACAGTCGACTGGGTTTAATTAGTATTTCTTTCTTTTTTTTTTCATTTGTGTTTCCCAGAGCCAGGAGCAGTGGGTCACCTGAGCTTTACAGAGATCCTGGACACTTCTCTACGAGTGAGCTGGCAGGAGCCTGAAAATAAGAATGGGATCATCACTGGTAAAAAAAAACCTGAGGCGGTTGTCTTATGAGTGGCTCCTGTAGTTTCACACAAGAAAATAATTTTATCTCCCATGGCGCATCCAGCAAAGATGCTGTATTACAGTACCGATTGAGCTCCATGGTGCAGGTTCAAGCCTGGATCATGGCACTACCTGACAGAGACTGGGACTTCCCACATTTGGCAGAGTGGCATCAGAGTATAGTGGGAGTGTCAACAAAACAGAAACTGGAAACTGGAGACTGGCTTGCAAAATTCTACTGGTCTACTAGTTTTTCATAATAATATTTTATAGTGCTTTTCTGGACACTCCCCTCAATGTACTTTACAGAATTGGGGTTTCCCTCCACCACCAGAAATGTGTAGCACCCTTCTGGATGATGCAACAGCAGCCAGAGTGCGCCAGTTAGCTCCCCACACATCAGTTCTCAGTGAGGAGTACAGAGTAATGGAGCCAATTCGTAGGTGGTTATTATTAGGAGGCCATGATTGGTTAAGGCCAGGGGGGAATTTGGCTAGGACACCAGAGTTAACACCTCTGTTCATTTCTGAAAACGCCCTGGAATTTTTAATAACCATAGGGGGTCAGGACCTCCGTTTTATGTTTCATCTGAAGAAAGGCACCGTTTTTAATAGTATAGAATCCTCATTACTATGATAGGGCATTAGGACCCACAGAGACCGCAGGGTGAGGACCCTCTACTGGTCCCACTAACTCTTGTTCCACCAGTAAACTTAGCTTCCCCAGGAGGTCTCCCATCCAGGTATTGGGCAGGCTCACACATGCTCAGTTTCAGTAGATTGCCTGTTGTGAGCTGCAGGGAGATGTACCTGGTAACCACTGGCACAAGCACTCCCGTAAGACAGTGTGGAGCTTGCAGCATGTATTGTAAAACTACTGTATGAATGGCTCTGACAGGTGAATGTGTCAGTGGAGCATGCAAGTGTTTTCTCATTCTCCCTCTGCGATACGGGAGGAATCACTACCAAAAAGCCAAGTCTTAAATAATTGACAGTTCTAAACTGGGTGGATATATGTGTAAAAATAATTGGTGATTCCAATGCTTTATTTTTAAGGAGACAGTTGTTCCATTCCACAGTCTGCCTGAAAATCTAGCCTACATCTTGGTCAATTTGTGAACTACCCCCTAGGGAATTCCAGTCACCGATGGTTAGTGTTGCAGGTCGGACCACAGCCAGCAGTGCCTGGGCTCTAGGGTACAAGAGAATGACATGTAAATTATAGGCATGTAGGAATTAATACTTATGCTAGCCATGTTGGTGGAAACTGGTGCATTACGTTCTAGGAACAGCTGGATGAGACTCTCAGATCAATGCTAGTAAAAGTTGATTTGAGCTAAATAGCTCAAATGGCTTCCTCTTGTTTGAAACCTTTCTTGTGTTCTACATGGTCTCTATTATCTATAGCAAGGGTGTAACTCCAGCATGTAAACAAAGTTTTTACTCTTTTTCTCAGACTGAAAGAGAAAGGGTTTAAGAGGTGAACAATACAGGGCGAAAGTAATTAAAGAAGCACCAAAAGATATACTAAGACAGGGGTTTGTGACAGTACTGCAGGGGGTTCATGAGATTGTGATGGAAACATCAATGTTAAATTAAATAGTCCTATTATTAAGTAACAATGTAATAATAAGAAGAAAAACAACAGTAGTATTATTAATATTTTACAAAGTGAAAGGATGCATGTTAAGAGGGTCACTGTAGCATTTATCTACATTTATTGAAAAGTGTGATTTAGTTAAATTCTTAAGGGGGTACAAATAATTTACTGTAGGTTTAAGGGGTTCAACTGACAAAAAAGTTTGGGAACCCCTGTACTAAGAAAAACTACTTTAACTGTTTGTATAATGTAACTGACAGTCTTAAAAAGTACTGTGAAATGAACCTCAATAAGGAACTGAATTCACTCAGTTATTGTAGTGAATATAGAAGTCCTCCTTAAACCAATGAAACCAAGGAATGTACTGTATGAGCAGCTAGCATATTCATGCCTTGTTTCAAATCAAATGAACTGAATGTGCCTTAAGTCTCTGCTTGTTTTCTTTCCCATATATTTGCTTTTATATCTATCTAAGGAATGTGGGTTTCAGTGAGAAAGTCGTAAGTTTCTGTCATAATGATTAATGGCATATTGGGACATTTTTATCCCTATATAACATGAAATCTGGCTTCCGTCTGTTAAAATTTCATTGAACATTGCATTACTGCATGCATAGATGGGTTTTCTGAAAGGTGTTTCATTTTAATTTAGCAGGTACTCTGAGTTCTTGATACTGTTTTAATGGATATGCTTCTATTTAACACTTCATTGGGTTTTTGCACAAAGGCCATTAAATAGTATTATTGTTGCAAGTATTCACACAGAAATATGGTTTTATATTCAATATAAGGATTTTTTCTAAAGAATGATTTTGTAAAATACTGGAAAAAATAATGAAACTGCTGTAATATAGTGCACACGCTGTGTGCAGTAACCCGACAAGTTACCATCAGGAAACAATTCATCAGATGCTTTAACTGCTAGAAAATCAGATGCACCCAATTAAGTGAAGGTTACCTGCTAACATATGTTTTTTTCACTACAATAAAAAGGAAGTGGCACCCATTAAGCATTGAGGGTCCCAAAGTAAAAGAACAATAATGAAAATGGATGTAGATTAAATTTGAATGATTTTAAACAGCATCCATCGTTAGCAGCACATAAGATATTGTTTCCTCTTGAATGTTTTGGTATCCTTATTTCTTGCAGGGTCTTTCAGTGCAAACTTTGATATATGAGTATCCCAATGTAAACGGACAGTCTGTGATTGGAAACACTGCTGACTGCAAGGGAATATACTCCAGTTAAACATGAAATTATACAAGACCTATGCTGACTATTAGTTTCAGTAACATACAGCTTAGGGTATAGTGTCCAAAGGGCCTGAGAATTTGTAGCTGATTTTGGTAAAAAGAAAGCCATTAATTGGACATAGGTCACATTGAGGCAAAACTGCCAAAGGAATGGGTTTTGGATCATCTATCCTTGCTAAAGCCTTACTGCATGTTCAGTATCATGGGTGACAAGTCCTGATTTATGTCTTCTTCGGGCCCTGGCAGCTAAAAGCACAAAAGAAGAGAAAATTGACTATTTAACTGCCCATAGCTTAACTGAGATGCCTTTCCTTTTCTAGTTAATATTTCTGTCAATATACAGTATGAAACTATGCTCAAAGTATAGCCTTTGTTTAAGGAAAAAAGCAATCATCACACCAGTTCGAGGGTCAGGGGCATGTGATGAGCTATTCCTAGCCTGTGACTCGAGCATTAAAAGCTGACTTTTAAGTAAGTTATCTCATAAAAGTGAGTTTTTGCCCTGAACCATTAGAATAGTGCAGATACAGGTTAATCTCCCTTTTTCTCTGCAGGCTACCAGGTTTCTTGGGAGGTCCATGGTAACAACGCCTCCCGGATGGCACGAACAATGGCCAACACCACTCTGGAGTACAAAGTCACAGGACTCACCTCTCTTACTACATACAACATCGAGGTGGCCGCAATCACAGCAGCAGGAATTGGCACTGTTACGTCTTCTACGATCTCCTCAGGGGTGCCTCCAGGTCTCTGCCAACCCAAATAAATTCCAGCCATCCATTTTCTAACTGCTTTATCCAATACAGGGTCGCGAGGGAGTTGAGTCTTGCCCAACAAGCAGTGGGCACAATGTACAATACTATCTGGATGGGGCATGAGTCCATCGCAGAATAAAATACATTCCACAGCTTATTTTGAAAATAGCCTGATATTCAACGGCAGTAGCCCACTGCAAATCCAAATCTCACTTATCCGAAAAGAAACAATCGTCCAGTTCATTTCAACGGCTGTGCATCTGGCAGACAGCAGACGGCGGTCATGCGGCTCTACACACGGTTCTGTGTGAATGTGAATAATGATCTTTTAAGCTGGCGTTGTCTTTGCGGAAGCTGATAAGTTGCTGTTTGTGCTCAAACATGAATCAAAAATCACTATGGAGAAGTAGTATTAATTTAAACTAGCTTAGAGGCACAGTGTTTGTCACTGTAAAGTGATGTATGCGTGACTGTGGCAAAAAGCCAACTATGAGCTCTTACCCTTGTTGTTAAACTGAAAAGTGTAAATTTTGAAGGAAATGGGGAGAGCTACAGAGCTGAAAGAAAAGAGGTGCAACAGTGTCCAACTATTAGTACTCTTAATCTCAAGTTCCTTACAAACGGCAGTGAACAACGTAAGAGAACCACAACTGAGCTCAGTAAATCTGAATATTGTATAACATACATTTATAAATTGACATCTGTTCTTGTGAAACTCTTTAGAAAACTGTTTTAGAAAACTGATTACCTTAATCTTTCAGTGTCAATGTCAGACAAACCTGTCAATAGTAGGTTTACATGGAAGTTAAGGACAAAGTTATTTGTTCTGACCTACAAAATAAATATTTAAATGAAGAAAACACCTGAATGGTTTTGGCTTTTAGAAAAAATCAGTGAACATAGGTTTTTTCATCGTGTTTTTTTTGTGTTCAAATTCAGAACTTCCTGGGGCTCCGTCAAATCTGGTCATCTCCAATATCAGCCCTCGCACAGCCACACTGAAGTTCCATGCCGGAGATGATGGAAAAACTTCCATCTCAAAGTGGATTGTTGAGGGGCAGGTTAGTGTCTAAATATGTACATGACCCTTTTCTTCCATGTGTTCATACCATTAAAGATGGCTTTATAAACACTTAAAAATGTCTTATTCATTTATTACCCTTTTAGTATTTGGTCACTTGTTTTATACACTTAACTGTATTTGTTTCTGCTCATGCTTAGACTATTTGACATTTTGATTTTTTTATTGTTTCTTTCTTCGTTTTGGCATGTTTCTTTCAGGAATTTCTCAACGCATATCAAAAAAGATCTTTATCCTTTTTATATAATTATCTCTTTAAGATAAAACACATTAATTCTCGTTCATCCACACATTTTAAGTGTGTTAAGATCTTGCTACACTTTTAAAAATAGAATTCACAGTTAAAGCCATTATGGTTTAACACATTGTTAGTGTTGGATATCATCATGACCTCATGGTAGCAACAGAATTACAGTTCCAATTATTTCAAAATTAAATATTCAAAAACCTATTCTATCTTCAGGCTGTTTTTCACAAAAAAAAAACAAGGAAACCATTTAAGAATTTGGTTTGATCCTAAATGCCAGTTTTGGTTCCAAGTAAAACATTCAGCAGTAAAATTCTAAAAATGGCAATTTTTGGTTAAGTTCTTATTTTTGTTCCTTATCAACTACATTTGTATCCAAAAGTAGCTTCCAAGCATGAAATCCCTATGTGAATGCACAGAACCCTGAAACATTGGCTTTCACCTGTTATTGAGGATTGCATGTCCTCAGTACTTTTTTATTGTGCTAATGCCTTTCCTGGGCAGCAGAAATGTTTTCCATCTTGAAAGAAACATGATATTGTTTAGAAGGCAGCACCTTTGGAGACCTGCATACATCTTATTTTTTATAAATGTCTTTTAAGTAAAGGACTCATAAATACAGGTTTTCACATGTATAGTTTAAACAGGCTGGGTAGAAAGCAGGCAACAGTAATGCCTCAAGTGAAGTGCTGGTTTATTCACCTGCAAAGCTCTTTATTAGAGGAGAGCTTGACTGGACACAGTGAGTTGTATGTATCCTGATGGTAGTGTGTAGCTGGAAAAGCTCAAGTTTTTTTTTTTCAAAAGGCTAGGATATCCTCAAATCTTCAAGCATTGCATAACAAATACTACAAAACTCCTGGGACATAACCCCTCTCCTGTTAGATTAAAAGACGTCACCCTTGCGACTGTCAAAGAACCTCCTTAGAGATATTGCATTTTGAAAACCTGATAACAAAAGTAAATCAGACCTCTTATGGATGTGGTTTCTGACATTTTCCTCTTAGTTCCCACCTTCTATTAAAATTCAGTTCAGATCTGATGCACAAAGTTATCCATACTGTTGCTCTGTGGGGATTAAATGGGTAGTTTAAGACTATAACTAAGCCCATTATTTTAACCTCTGCTACTTGTACTTTCTCTGCCTTTGTCATATAAGTCTTGAGACTCAGTTTCCCACAATTCATTTCAAATAATGTCACCTATGGTTCAGACTTTGCTGCTGCTAGGATTTGCAATTCCCACGGTTCATTGCATGTTAAACACACTGGAACTTCTCTTACTTTTAGCCCTGCATATTACACTATGGAGAGCTGGAATCCCTGAATTAATTTCACAGTGCTGTCTGCAGCTTCTGGAATGCAGTCACAGCCAATTTTCTGAACCTGACAAACACGCCTTTTAAGACCTGTGAAAAAAATGGTAAAAATGTACTCAGATCATTTCACAGTATTTGTTCTTTGTGATATTTTACTGTGGTGCCATTTAAAATAACTAGTCAGCTGTGGAGCCACATAGGACTTTGAAATCTTGCAATGGTTATTGAAAATTTGATTTTAGTTCTGGAGACACTGTAGGGCCTTACATTGTGAACACCCAACAAGTGTCATTTTGGTTTAGTGTCAGAAGTTTTGCTATAGGAGTAAAATATGTTTCTATTTTAAATTCTAGTCTGTTTAAACAGCAATATTCTGCTCATTACCCTCATGTAGTGCAAATGTACTTAACATATACTGTTGTGCAAAAAAACTGATGTGATATTGTTTTCTGTGGTTAAAGTGATACCAAAAGGTTGGCCTCATTGAACCACTTCCAGAAAGTGAAGACCCTAAATCAAGCTTACAGAAATGGGTTAAGTTACAGACTTTAATGTTTACCATGCACTGAAAACAAATGAGGCCACTACCTTAACACACCTCTGCTTTCCTATATATTATGTTGGCAGATACAATTACCTCATAACCTTTACTTTATGGATCCCACAGTGAGCAATATGATTTTATACATTTAAGATTTGCTGCTACATACATTAGCATTTGTATGGGTTCTTGAAACAGGACATTGCACTATAAATTCTCCCATCTTTGTTGCTGCTGCTGCTTTCCTGTTCTATAAAGCTTTTCCAATTACGGTGCAGCACAATTTATATGTCTATGACTGTTGTCATGCAAAAAACATAAGATCCCCCAGGATGGCAGGACTATGTAGGACTGAAGCAAACATGCATTTGGACTCCTACAAATGCTCTGGATTTGTATGTGTTGGGAAATCCAGATCACAGCTTGGGTTGAAAGCCTGTATCAGTTTTGAGACAGTAGGAGAACAATAAAACCACCCTGGAAGCAATGCAGAAGTGACAAATATTGTAAACTCACAGCAGCACCTTGACAACAATGTTGCTAAATGCAACATGTAATACAGCAGAGTTTACTGACTAACTGTAAACTCTAAATATAAACAAGCAGAATTAGCACAGAAACTGATTTTATTAAATGCCTCAGATTATTTACAGTATCTCTGACTGTTATCCTGATACCATATGCAGACTGCATACAACTACAGAGAATCAAAATGGAGCATAATAAAATCCCCCAAATAGAGGACTAGGTAATAATACAAATTAATATTAAATCTATAAATTGTCTTTCTTTATTTCTTTCAATTTAGATACAAAACCCTGAAAGAGCTTAGGTGGTTTGGAAGATATCTTGTACCACTTTGTATTTAATAGAATTAACAAATAACTTTTCAACACGTTAGCCAGTTAAAAGGTTAATCTGCTGCAGTATTTGTGACTCCCTCACTGGCAAGAGAAGCCCATTTCAGAAGCCTGCCTGAGGGTATCAGAGCACAGTGCCGGTCAATGTTCTGATCCTTAAAAAGAACTGATAGGCATCGCCCTTAGGCATTTATTTCAATGACTAGGAATGCCAGCTGAGTAGTGCCCCTTTTCTGAAAGAGGGCTTTACAGTGGCATGGACATGTCAGAGTCACAAGACTTGGTTGGAATGCCCAGACAGCCGTCACCAGTTGAGGTCAACCTGCAGTCAGGTACTGAACAAGTGGCCCTCACTACCTTCTTTCTCCACAGGTTGGGAGTATAGGAGATGATGAGGAGTGGAAAGTTCTGTACGAGAAGGAGAATGAACCAGAAGCTCAAGTGTTAGAGATCCCCAACCTCACCCCTTTCACTCACTACAGGTGAAGATTTCCCTTTTATACTATGATTGTAGAATTTTGACTTTGTTCTGACAATACTCAGATTTACTTGCATTTACACCTGATATTTAAGTGACTGGTTCATTGTGTACTAACTGCTGATGTTTATTGTTTGATGAAACAAATGTTTTCAACAGTCATGCTACTGGGTTCTCTGCATCAAACTTTAGATCACTAGTAAGGTTCTTCAGACTGACAAAGTGAAAAGGGTGGGAGTTTAACCTTTGAGCCACATGGTTGGAACATTACAAAAAGTATTTTCTTCCCACTTACTGTAGGATTATGACTTAGATACATCTCATACTATCAACAACTACTGTGGAGAAACTAGTACAGTACAGGTACATGCATTTTTGTGATCTAGATTAGATTACTCTGATACCCTTTGTGCTGGAGCTTCAAGCTTACAGAAACATCACTATTGTTCCAATACTGTTAAGCTGGGGTCTTAAACAGGTCTGAAATTGTCTACCTGTCAAATTGCAGATAGATTGTAAAATACTTATTTGGGATTACATACTTTTGAAGAACATCTATCCTCCTTATATATCTGACCTCTTCACTACTTGAACACCTGATACATGACATCTCACTGGTCCTCTGACATTGCTTTCTTACTTATTACAAATTGGTGAGAAGGCCTTTAATACTCCATATAAGTGAGTCCATTGATACCAGTATAGTGGAGTTTCTCTGTTTTCAAATAACACTTTTGAATCTAATTGTTTTAACTGGCCTGTTTATAGACGTGATTTTGTTCTGTGTTATTTATGTATGTTCTATGTTAACTTATTTTGCCACTGTTAAAATGTATCTTGTACTGATGTATCCTTTGCTTTTTGTACTACCCTTTGGGTTATTTTTTATTATGAAAGGTGCTTTATAAAATAGTTTTATTATCATCATCCTTCAAATGAACCTCTCCACACTAAGGGAAAGACAATAATCTACAAACAAACAATATGTAGATATTTAAAATATGTAAATATCTTATGTAGTTTTTTATCTTTCTTTTTCTAAAAACAAGCCCAGTGCTCTGTGCTTTGAAAACTCACCTCAACTACTGCTTTTAAGACCATTAGTCTATTTTCAGTTACCTGATTTAAGAGGGGATATGCTTCAGTCAATTTCATTGCTGTTGACTGACCCTTTATAAGCCTGAACCATTTTTAAACAATTTGAGTTCAGGAACAGATTCTTTATTCTTCAAAATACTGTGTAATAAATATTTGACAATAGGAAAATGATTAAATAAACCCACATTTCTGTTTTACTGAGCCTTTCCCTGCAGCATATAATGGGAAGGAATTCTGGCTTCTTCTAATCTAAACAGTATTTCCATATCATAACTTTCTTAGGCTGTATTGCCCGATGAAGCCTTAGCAAAAATGATAAGCATGGTTACTTTGTATCTTCTTGTTAAATTATTTTGCAGTACAATGACAGCAGCATTTTCTGAGATAAAACCTCTGTGGTTTGTTTTTTCTTTCTAGGTACTCTTTGCCTCCTTTACTAATACGATGACTAATAATTGTAGCAGCAAATTAGGTGACATAAGTATACTTATAAGGAAAGTACATTGAACACCTGTACTTGCAAGTTCATGCAAAGTTCACTCAGTGCCTTCTACATTTACTGTATTCATACTAATTTTTTATCACCTCTAAGTTTTTTTGAAAATATAGAGAAATATACAATAACAATACTGGAAGTGCAATGAAAGACCCACAAGCTATGTATAGTTTCCTGCTTTCCTTGGGTATCACAGAAGATAAGCAGTAGAAGCATGCATCACCAGTGCTATTAAGATTACAGTATGACATTTTTAGAATTCCTTTCAGCAAGACACATTGTCCAATCTCTAAAACAAAGACATGCTATTTATTTTGTGAATTCACATCATAGCTACCAGGTGTGCTGTGCCTTTGCAGGTTTCGGATGCGACAGGTTAACATTGTGGGCCCCAGCCCTGTGAGCCAGCCTTCCCGGGTCATCCAAACTCTGCAGGCCCCTCCGGACGTGGCTCCCAGCAGCGTGACCGTGCGCACAGCAAGCGAGACCAGCCTCTGGTTACGATGGGTGGTGAGCATGCCGTACAGAAAGAATACCTGCAAGCTTTGCTTATTTGACTGTTCAGATGACTGTTTCGGACATGCCATGACTTCACTTTAACTTTGCTGTAGAAGAGAATTATTTGTGCATGCTCTTACCTGATCGGAGTAACTGGGTGGCTCGTATGTACTTGAAAATCAAACATCTCAAGATTGTGAACTCTTCCTAATAAAATGAACTGAGTCCAATGAGTGTTTATTATAGCTCTACTTGCTGGCAAATCAGAATAGAGGGCCTGAGAATGAAATCTTTTGCATTTTGTATCTGAAAGAAAAAGCAGTATTGTTTATAAGAGTAAATTAAACTGCAATCATAGGAAAGACTTATTTCACCCAATACTGCTGTCATCCCTTTATCAGAAAGCCATTTATTCCTGGTAAAGTCAGCAACCTGGAGCTTATTGTAGGGCATAAGTAGCATGAATGAACTAAATCCTGGGCTGCACACCAGTCCATCACAAGGCACACACATGCGGGGACAGTACAGAAGCACCAATTAACCTAGGAAACATGCCTTTGGAAGACAGGAGGAAACTGTTGCAGTTGGCAATAGCCCAAATAACCATGCTGCTCTTACTGCTGTCATTGTTGTATTAATCACGCATATTGTTGTATTAATCTTGAGTTTATTTGAGTCCAGTTGTGTTAGGATTGTGAACATACAGACTTATTTTAATAGAAATATGTAGCAACTTACTCTCTATTTTGCACAATAAAAAATCTTATGGAATTGAAATGTGGGTAGCACAGTTTGTCCAACAATGTACTCATGTCTTCTACAAAAAGTAAAACCAGATTGTTTTTCATAAAGGGCTACAGATGACTCACACATCACTCTGTGCAGTAAAACTAGATACATGATGTTACTAGGGGAAGTGCTTTTGTTTTATTTGACAATCAGTATTGTCTGAAAAATAATGAAGCAGCTGAAGAAAATAGAATACATTTTTTTCTTTGGTTTGGCTCAGCCAAATGTATTTTAATTATTAAGGATGTCTTTTGATATTAACGTCCCTTCTTTATGAAGAAGACTCAACCACATAACTGATAGTCTAGTATAAAACCCTAGAAAATAAATGTAGCCTTCCATCAGTCATTACATCAGGAAAATGCTATTATTAACAATTGTTCTAAAATCTATGAGTTTCAAAATCTTCATTGTTACAAACTATGGAAACAAAGAGGTCTGATGTATAGTTGTAAATGATGATACATTTAAATTCCACCATCAACATTCTTTATGCTTTAATTCAAAGCAGAAACAATATCTATTTGCATGTCGTATTACGTTCTTACCAAGTTATTATGCATTTGCATGAAAGTACTGTAGTACATTAATTGCAGATTTAAGAAACTTACAGTGTTATGATCTGATGGGTGGTTAGACATTTTTTTCAGTGGCTGCTGTCCTTCAGTTGTCTTTGAAGTAGGATAAGGCACAGACACTTTAATGCATCAATAAATTGTACCCCATGTTCTGAATGGCTCCAACTGTATATACACTGTATGTACTTCATAGAGCACTTTTTTGGAATATAATAATTGTTCTTATTGTTGTAGTTGATAATGCAGATTTTCTTTTACAAGAAGCATAACTTAAACTGAATGTCAAAATGCTGGTTGCTGAATTAGGAAGAAAAATAGAAAAATAATAAATGCATTGTAATAACTTAAATACAAGCTCCACACCACAGGAGTAATACTGTGCTTGGGTTTAGCCTGGTGAACAATCTGCAGTGCAAGTCCAAGTTAATGTGTGCCCACTCTGTCTCTCCATAGCCCCTGCCTGACTCGGAGTACAATGGGAACCCTGAGTCAGTGGGGTACAGGATCAGTCTGTGGCGAGCAGACTTGCAGGGCGAAACCCAGACCCAGCTGGTGAACGACCGCCTGGAGAGAGAGCTCACACTGGAGGGGCTGGAGGAGTGGACAGAGTACCTGCTGCAGATCCAGGCCTTCAACTCCATTGGGCCAGGTCCCTGGAGTGAGGTGGTGAAAGGCCGAACAAGGGAGTCAGGTAGGGGGCCTACATTGTCTCTGGCCTGTTTGTCTCCCCACTGTCTCTTTGTCTTAACAATCTCTTCATTGCTCTGCTGGTAAAAACTGAAACTGTAAAAACTGTCCACCCTCAAACATCCTCACCTTTCTGAAGGCTTCCATTTTATTTTCAGGAGCATATACACATCAGGGATAAATTTCATTTGCAACGGCAAGCCATAAGTACACAAATTATTGAAATGCTAGACACTACTTACATACATAATATTAAAATTTTACTTTAAGTTTTATTATAGTTTTATGTTTAGTGGTATGTACCAACATACTTCACTTTAAAATTTGACTAACAGACATTCCACCTTCACTAGATGCCAATTCAGAAAAACTTAATCATTGTCCTCTGAATATGGGATTGTGAGTATTATTGTATTATTGTATTATTATATAATAACTGTAATAATTTAAAGTATCATTTTTGTGATTATTGTGTACTACGTGAATCTCTGTTCTGTTGAAAAGAATATTGTTCCGCAAGAGGAGAAAACAAATGCCAAATACATACACAACTATATACTGTACACCCAGCTTTTGCTTTACAAAACCTGTTTTGTTCTCTACAGCAAAAAAACATACTTGCTGTATAAAGTCATTTTCGATAAAACGAAGGCACTTCACTTGAGTTCTTGCTCGGTGATTTTTATCATCGAACATCATTCTTATTTTTTACGCCATGTTGGCAAATCGTTTTGCAAGTACTTTAAGTCTTAAAAAAGCAAAGAAAATAAGGAAAGTATTTTCCCTGGCTGTAAAACGTGAAGTGCTGGAGAAGATTGAAAAGGGCGAACAGTCGAAAGACATTTGCATTGTTTAAACTTAGTTGCACTGTGGTGATCTTCAAGAGTTTAGAGTTTTTAAACATTTTATTTATTTTGTTCACTATAGCACTATGTTCAGTTGGCTAATTATCATAACCACTCAACAGTGCTTTTTTTATTTTGAATTCAGTAACTACAAAGTACTTACAAACAGATTGTAAGCCTGATCTTGTGTAATACAAATAATTTTCTATTCTGTGAAATTTTGCATCATAAACAGTCTTGAGGAATGAATAACCTTTGTATACAGTGTGTATATCAATTGGTAAAATGCACTATTGAAATGCAAGTTAAAGGGGCTCTGAGATTGGTGATGGGCATCACCTGTAAACTCTGTTGAGAGACTGATAAAGCTAACACTATGTGCCCGTTTAGATAAGTAAAAGCAACTCTTTTAAACGAATCAGCAAAAGGCAAGGTTAAAGGGACGTTACAAAACAAGCACTGAAAATATGGAGGACTACTTGCTAGATACCAGTGACATTAAAACAGCAATAAATTCACTTCTAGAGCTATTGCTGTACCTCTTTGAAAGTAGCTATCTTCTGTACACATCAAATGTGTCAGGTTTCTATTCACTTCTGGGAAGAAATATAGTTTTCATCTGTTGAAATGTAGACATTCTTTATTTTTCATTTATTTGATACCTAAACATCATCATAAAAAACTAGGTGAGACTAGGTCTGCTGAGGTTGCTCCAAAATTTAGAGAAGTTTAGAGGAGTGTTTGCACAGGTCTTGTGATATCAGTTTTTTCCCCTCCATATTCATGTGGAGATATGCTCCTTGAACTAGATATGTGACACTCAAACTATCAAGGGGGACTGCAATTGGTTAGAGGTAGGTGAGAACAAGAATTGCTGTGTTTTCATAACTGTTATGGTAACATCACAGAGAGTGTCTCCTGCATGTGTGGGTTTTTCTCAGACAGCCGTGAATTACAGTAAATCCCAATTGAGCCTCTGACCATACCTGCCACATGTGCTGAACAAATGAGCTTAGTGGGCCTGATTTGGCCTGTGGGCCATGTGTTAGACACACAGTCATTCGAAAGGTACAATAGGAGAGTTATTTTTTTCACCAATACTAGAATTTCTGATATTCCCCATATGTTTTTGGTTTGACTTAAGAGCACACCATATCTGAAAGGCATGATAGCTCTATGAATAGATCAATTAAAAAAAATTTAAAGGAAATAATTCTGTATTAGATGGCTACATAAATTCATTATAAATTCAGTAAGATGAGTGAAGAGGACAAAAATAGTTCTTAAAACTTATCCTGTCTTTCTGCTTGCATATTTTAAGTTAAAGTTAAAATATGCAAGTCTTAAAGTTCTGCTTGCATAACTTTAAGAGCTAGTTAGAGCGCACTTCTGAAAAGACTATTTTTAGTTTTTTAATTTAAAATGGTGTTTATCCTGATGAGGAAGAATGTATTTTTACATTGGTTTAAGAAAGGGCCTCTTTTGTCCAAAGATTCTATCACAAATAGAGGTACAAAAATTGAAATTTAAAGGACCTGTGTTTCATGCTTTTACTCACCTTTTAATTAATGCTGTTTAGCAACACTAGTGTTAATCACACATTGAAGATGTGCAATGAAATTGTGCAAATGCTGTCAGCACAGTATTCTGAGATGTTACAGTTTTAAATTCAGTAGTCTCTATGACTTGCAGCAATGTTTTTTAATCTTCAATTTTTGTTTAACTTTTTAACAACATACAATAAAAAGCCAATATTAACGTGAAAGTCTCTTCAGAAGGAAAGAAGGAAGTGTAAGAGAAAGATAACAGTTGTTGAAGGGGAAGAAGTGTCTGCAGTCTAACGCTTTGGTAAAATCTTGCTTTTGAGAAATGGTTCTCATCTCAGCACCTATTAACAGCAGGATGAAGCTATCTTTTAATATCCACTGCACAACATCCAAGGAGCATATATCCTTATCCAAGGAGTTTTTTTCTTATTGTGAAACAGAGTAATGTTTCTGTTTAATTGTTCTCCAGTTTTTTACATGACTATGAATTCTGCTCATGTGAAACCCGCCTTGGATTAAAAACTCGTTTTTTTATAGTTTTGGGGATCTCAGGGGCTGCCATTGATGTTGTTACTTTTATACTTTTAGATTTTTCCATGCACTTTTAATCAGTTCTTCCCTTAAGACTTCCATAAGTTCCCTCAGTTTTTAGGAAACTCTCATATAGGTGCATGTGGCTCTGAGATAAATTGGATTTTTTGGTTGATTTTTAATTTACAGTGATCAACCCCTTCAAGCTTAATCATGACAAAAGTTCTGTTTGATTGTGGAGTTGATTTCCTAATGGAAATGACTTTGTGTGCAACACCTAAATGTAATGCTACAAACAACGTGGAAGTTATTGCATTTTTCAGCATGAAAGAAGGGTGTATTGAAAGCAAGTGATGTACAAATGTTTGACCTGTGCTGTAACTGTTACTCTACCTGTGAAAACCAATCTGATGTGTTTGCGTTTGTATAACCTGCAGTACAACAATGCCTGTCCTCATGTTTGGATTTGTGCTTTAATGGTATTTAATCTTTGTTTTGTCAGAAATTCAATCAGAGTCCTCCATTTGAAAGAGAACCAAAATTAATCACAATGTGCTGTTAAAGGTCTCTTAGAACAATATGGATTGCAAAAATGATAATGAATTCTCCTTTCACAGTGCCATCTGGGTCTCCAGTGAATGTGACAGCTGAGGCTGTGAGCTCCACACGCATTTTAGTCACATGGGGTCCTGTTCCAGAACAGGAGAAAAATGGACATATTCTTGGATATAAGGTAATTCAATTGCCTGTGTTACTATTCCAACAAAGCAGGGCTCTAAGTCAGCTAGCTAACCAAAGTCCATAAGCAGGTTTTACGTGTGTTCAAGTTCTATTACCTGGTAGACTCGTTCGAAGAAATAAATCCAATTTGTTGAAGGGATTTTGCAATTTAGTCTAAAGACTACTTTTTCAGAAGCAAATAGCCATCGGCGGTGACTGACCACAATGTGATTGATTTGAGGTTTAAAATTGGAAATCAGAGTTAGGGGTTGTGCAGTATTAAGTCGAGCACACGTAATTTTCATACATTGTTTCATTTGTACTATTACAAGAAGATAATAAACTGGTAGAGAAATGTGTATTTAAAACTAAAGCTGCTTGTTTATGAAACAAATGTCTTTCTAAAGTTATTTTTATAGCTTTTATATTGTAAGAGCTTTTGCATTGTTTACCACTGTAAACTTTTCCCCAATAAATCTCTGTATGGAATTAACAGGTTAGTTAATAATTTAATCAAAAGTTTTAGCTTCTAAAGGTACACAGTGTTCATGTCTTGAAGCAGGAATACAGTTCAGACCACAGCAATTAAAACACCACATTTTATCTGCAACCAGAAAGAAACAGTTGTGTAATTTACTTGCTTCCCTCTGCTGTATTGTTGAAATTGCACCTTGGATGTCTGCATGTCACAGTTTGAAAGTGGGAAATGCATGTTTAATGTTTTTGTGTTAAACTTTAACATCCATTCTTCCACTGTCAGCAAAATGTAGAAGTGTTCTTCAACTGAAATGAAAAACATTTTTTTTTCATAAATGAATGTAATAACTTTGCTGATTAAGCACATATACATCACTGAATTGCATTGGTGAAGTGAGTGAGTTTTTCCACTCTTATAAAATGCATTGAGGAATGTATAAGCTTCTTTAGTATATAGTTTAGTGCCATGTTTTACCCTTTTTAAGTTTGCAGCAAAAGCTTTAATTGCATTTTGCTTACACAGAGTTCACAAATAGACTGTTAGTGTCTGAGTCACGAATAAAGATGACTGATAGAAATCTCTTTTGACTGTAGCAGGCCAACAAAATGCATTTTGCTGCATTTACTGCTGTTAAAATATATTGTTTGACAGAATTGTCTCCTCTTCTTAAGACCTGCTTCAGTGATAAATGGAAATTTCGGAAACTAACTTGGCAGATTACATCCACAGCCAAGTATTTTTATATATTTTTTTTGCCCAGAAAAACTTGTGATAAAATGTTTTGAGAAACACAGTCCATCAGGCAAACTGCTCTTCCTCGAATACTTTGCCAATTAAACCACAGACTTTAGATGTCTAATTCTAGAACCAATAGTTTTTCAAGTGTGGAGCTGTGTTAGCAGTGGTTAATTCTATGCTAAAACATATAAAGAATTCAACATTTTGACTGTCAAGCCTCCTACTGGTGGGAAGTAGTCTTCTTTAAAAAGGTGTGTTGTGAGTTTCAACTGCATGGACTATGTAAGGACTGTTTGGCCTTTTAAAACCAAACTCAGTGATTTTGTTATAGTTTGCCCTGACTGTACTTGTTATTTTCTCGCCCTGTTGAAATGAATGGATAGGGACTTGCTTGGAAGCTTGGAAACTGCTTGGCTTGTTCAAAACTGATTTTTGTTTTAAATCTGATTTATGTTGGAGTTTTGATGGAATAAAGCCCACATGAAATCTGCAATGTTTTGGATAAGGGCTGCTCTAGGTGCTGTTTCATGCTTGTGTAGGCAAGCTTTTTCTGGTGTCAAGGCTGTGAGATTAAGAATGATTGGTGTGGCAGCCAGTTCCTAAATGGAGTGCACTGAAATTCACTTTTTCTTCATTCTTTTCTTGTTCGAGTGAAAAAAAGATGTTACTGTAATTTAAAGACCTGTAGTTGAAATTGGAAAAAATGTAACTTTCATTTTTTAGCATTTGATAATGCCTTTACATTAAATGTGTAAACACAAATCAACTTATAATAGTTTCACTGAGTTATGATGCTTTTAGCTGGCCTCATTCATCCATCTGCCTAACTGCAATGTTTGTAAAAAGAATATATATATAAAAAAAATAAAGCCTTATAGCAAAATTTTTAAAAATGGCTTTCCTAGCCATTTATACAAAAATCAATATCTCTGTAAGTCACTCTCTTGTGAAACCTCTGATATACTTGTCTTGTGTGCAGTTTGGTCTTCCTGTGACTGTGCCACATTCTGTGTATGCCATTCTGCCGATGTGTGACATTTTATCACATCATCCTTTAACCACCTGAAATGCTATTTCCACATGCCCCCAATAAACTACTGTTCATTTCTTAGTGTAGATGCACACATTGACACAATAAAAAATGACATTAGTTGGTCTTTAAAGTGTTTAGAGAGGCAGCCACTTTAAATCTTGCTCTAATTGCCCTCAGCCACAAACTAGCCTCATTTCTTTCTATCACCTTCAAGCATCTGACGCCACCATGTGTTGAGATTAATTGAGAAGCACTGAGCAGATGGTAAAGGTGCTCAATAATGAGGCCTGTTGTCACCTGGGGCTTTATCGGTGAAATCGGATGGAAACTTCAGGTGAATTGATCACTGTTGCTAATAACACCTGTGTGTATGTGCTTCTTTTATTCAGGTTCTGTATAAAGAGAAGGATCTGAGGTCGGAGCCCCAAGTGCAGGTGGTGAAAGGAAACCTCACTCAGTCCGTGCTTCTCCGGAACCTGAGGAAATACGTGCAATATGAGATTCAGGTTCTGGCCTACACACGCATCGGAGATGGTGAGCCCAGCACCCCCCCTGTCCTGGAGAGGACCAAGGATGATGGTAAGTCAGATCCTTCTCTGTCAAGTTTTCTGCCTTTTTTTCACTCAGGTATCTTAGCACTGCAATGGGTCGGGAAGAAAAGAAGGACTCCCCAATGGTTCTCTGATTCTTAGATGCCAGTCAGGCTTCATGCTCTGTCTAATTCCAGCTGTGTCCAAAAAGATGTTGCTATGGCTTCTTTTCCCCTTGGGCTCTAAGCCCACCCTTAAGTGAGCCTGTTTCAATTCTGTTGCTGTGAACCTGAAGCCATGGTGAGATCAGAGATGTATTGTCGGAGATATACCATGTCCTTTCTTATGTTAATCCTGTTCTGTTTTTATACTGTATTTGTTTGCTGCTCTACTTTTATTTCCTGTGAATGCATAAACCCTTTGTTAAAAAAAAAATAAAGATCTAAGGATCTTCAATTGAAAACATATTGCTTCAGAAATGGGCTTTGACTCGGAGTTTAATCAAGCAGATTCATCAAGCAATTAGTGACAAGCAATGAAAATGAGGATTCAATAAGTTTAATCTTACTAAACCCTTGTAGGTATCTTCTTAATCAATTTCAAATGCTGGCAGCTGTCGTGGGAGCTACTTTCTTTTTAATTAGTGATATAAAATGCACATGTGAATGTAAATTATATGTATTATATTAATGAAAATGGTCACTCTCTGTCACATCTGTCGGCATATTTTTTCTAGGTTAAGCCATCAGCCAAATCTATCAACAAAACAGCATACAAATCTGTTTCTACCCTGTTGTTTATGATCATCCCAAAATGTTGTAGAATGTTAGGTGACACAAACCTCATCTGATTAAACATAATACTGGGCTCATAATTGTGGAAGTTCTGTATGAGCCAGTGGTCCCAGCAATTGTCAGTAATATACAACCAAAACAACAGTGCCTCACTAGAGCTCATCCATATCTGGGAATAAACACAACCCAGCACACCATGGGAACCACATAAAAAGGAAACAGGGAATTACTAGCTGAATGTTTTTATTCCAAGAATTTGTCAAGGGAACATCAGAAGGCCAGTTTTTTATTGGCTTTAATTTAGTTTAACCATGACACCAGTTTTGACATTCTGCTGCTTTGAAATAGTCTGAAATATTCCCAGGGAAAGCCGTAACTAAACTGGCAATTTTGAACTTGGCAAAGGCAACTCTTGAAGAAGGGAGGTAGGATCTACTAGACCCGGATTTATAGTAAAGAGCTCAGCTTTGCTCCAGTTCTGAGTTCTGATAACAGCAGGTCTTCAAGGTGGTTTAGTTATGGTATTCAGTGTGTACGTTTATTCAGTTCTACATACTGTACAATGGTTTATGACCCCAGTGGAAGATAGAGTGCTCTAGCTTATCCATCTATTGGAAGAAAAAAAATAGTAGTCTAAGTTATTAAAAATGTTAAAGAAAATGTCTGCAATTTAACACAAAAATGTGTGTGGTAAATGCCAGCAAAATCTTGTTGGCCATGGGAAGAAGTGGTACTGATTGAGTAATCAAAAACATCCATTTCATTATTGGACATATGCATCTTATAGTGATTGTATAAATTGACTGTATAAATTAAAGTTTAATTATGATCTAAAAATTGTACTACTTAAATTACATGTCAAGCGTACAAGAAGTGGGCAGTGACTATATTGATTAGATAAAGAAGCGCATCTGAATGCTAAATTCTGAACTTTGGCAGGATGGAAGTAAGCTGTACTATCTAATATATTAAAGTATACAGCTATCTGAAAATTGCTTTTAAAAGGCTACAGCTTCACTACCTATAATAAAAATGAAAGATTTTCTTCACAAATGAAGACATTTTAAAACTGTAAAATTATGACATTCACTTCAAATTCCTGTTAATTGCATTCACATACAAATGAACCTTCAGTGAGGCAGGATCTAAACATGAAGGAGAAAGTGCATATCATGACACTTGCAGACTAGACTTGGTAGTCATAAAAAAAGTAAAAAACAGATAAAGTAGAAAAAATGTAAATGTGTAAAACTTATCATTTACAATTTGTATTGCTTCACATCTAGATAATGTGTAAAATAATTTTAAAATAATTTTGCTATTCTTTTGCTGTTTGTCTGTTTTAATTAATGTAAGAATGATAGTGGTCACTCCCAGAGTAGCAGGTGCAAAATGAGCAATGTGCTTTGTTCGTTCACCTCTTGTTAGTCTTGGTAATTAAGATTGCCATTGTTTCCCTTGCCTGAAAAATATCTGTGCTATCATTCTACCTTGTGCATGTGAAGGATAAGTATGACTTAAAAAAGAAAACAAAGAATGGAAGGGGGTTATCATTATTAATTTATGATACAGTAGAAGAAAGCCGACTTTCATCTTTGTCTTCTCTGATCAAGAAAAGAATACATTTAATCTGCAGCTCAAATTCAGCAGGTATCCTATCATAGAATATCAATGAGGCTTCAATGCATTGCAAAAAGAGGAAAATGTACTTTTAGCAAACAAATCATCATTGCCTTGAGCCTGAAATTTTCTTTGAATGTGACTTTTTGTTTTGTGTTTTTTTGTTTCTAATTCTTTAAAGAGTGCAAAGACCAAAAACACCGTAATCCCCAGCCACCTCCCTTAGCAATGTTTAATTTACTAAAACATCAAATCTTCCTAAACCAAAGTTACAGTATATTATATATCCTTTGGGCTTAAAACTGTTGAAGACAGAATCTTTTGCACACTACTGTATGCTGTGGATATACTATTAAAATTAGTATATTAAAATTAATATTTTAAAATAATTTGTATCCATAATGGCTTGTAATGTTACAGACTAAATAACAAACAGTTCTGAATATTGAACAAATATGGGATACACTTCTCAGTAACATCCTCTAAATACATTTAGATGGAGACTATTATATAGGTTTGGGAATCCCCTGATTGTTTTTGTTTACTTGTTCAAAGGGCAATAGGGTAATAATTAAAAGTATTAATAAATAAGAGTATTAGTGTAATCCCACTGACCTTCTGCTTCAAGTATGTAAATTCAGTTTAAAATGAGGGAAGAAGAAAACAACATTTTGGCTGTGGAACCTTCTACAGGTATGTGGAAAAAGAGATTGCTCTGTTCCTTCATCTTCCACGCTGTTAAAGACTCCACAGTTGAAACATTGTATTTTCTTTTTTTTATTTGCTTTTCAATGTGTATTTAACTTTTAAATTGTTTCTAATTCCAGTATATCCTGTGATCTTTAGTTTATGGCAATTTTCTGCACACTTAGTTTTACAGTTTACACCAAAGACAAAATAGTTTATGCCTTATAGTCAGATTAAAGAATTAAACAGTTAAGACAGTTTGCCGCAAGCATTCATCTGTACGAAAGCACGGCATCTTAAGTACAGTTGTGGGACAGAGCTGAGCAGCTGCTTGGGAGCATTCAGACTGAGAGAATTAACAACATGTTATACGTGATGTTTTCTTTTCTTTCCCCACTTTTGTATGACATCCTTGGCTTCACAATTACTCATTCTTAGGCGTATTGTAGTGAAATGTGTTTTTCTTCTTAATAGCAATGTGGAGTAGTGGGTAGGGCTCTGGACTCTAAACTGATAAGGTGTTAGTTCAGTTCCTTGGAGGATGTGCTACTGTTGTATCTTTGAGCAGTGTTACTTAGATTGCTTTCATAAACACACCAGCTTTATGTGTATAAACACAAGTTGTTTTGAATAATGATGTCAGTCAAATAAATTGCTAATAATTATTCATAAATACGTATTGAAACCCTTCTAATTACATAAGATTGCAAAACTTTTTCTTTTTGCATTTTGCATTACTAAGAGAAATGATTGAGTTCAAAAAAGTCTTTCTTCTAGATGTGTGCATAATTTGAGTAACTACAGCCTTGTGATTAGATCAGTTAATTGCTCTTAATTACTTCTGATCAGTAAGGTTCCCTTGCAGAATGGCACCTTTCATTTCAAAGTAATTCAATTAACTTTTGTAAGTCACATTCAGATTTTTTTTCTGACGCATAAGCAGAAACATGATAATATTGGCAAGGAATGAGTCACGCTGAGAGCACGACTCATCTTTAATTATGTTCTTAATATGCAAGTTGAAAAATGGTTATTGATCAGTGGGAGCTGCTGTTTCCCACAGAAATTAAACCTGAAGGTTTATGTAACTACATTTTCAATAATTAAATCCGACTCAGTAATACATACAGAAACTGCTGAGGCGAGGACAATAACATTAGCTTAAAATAAGCTACTGAGCTGGAGACCACCTTCAGGAATCTTATGGTTAGTCAGGGGACTTTCTCACAGTTTGTTTGAATTCACAGATTTCATGATCCCTCTCTGATGGCTTACTGAGAAGAAAAATTGAACATCAATTAAATGTATTACTAAGCAGGAAGACGGTAATGTAGAGAACAAGGCTTGCCCCTAATTACTCTAGGTTAAGTTGCACTGCTGCTTTTTGGGTACTTTCTTTAATTACATTAATATTGTATTTTGGTATCATAGAACAGAAGTGATGCTTTTCCACATTCATGCAATTTATCAGATCAGGAACGAAGAAACATCATGCCCAGATGGCTAAAAAATGTGAATTTACAGTGTAAGCATTGTGAACCTCTAAAATCCTTCTTTAACAACTTTTATATGTGTCTATAATTCCACATTACTGATTGGAATATTGCAGATGTGGAGAAGTCACTTTAAGTTAATATTTTCAAAACTGCATCACATCTCATGACTTGATATACTGGATGTCTGTTTGTATCCTCAACTTAGCCTAAGCCAAGGATGTGACTGTCTTTCAGATCGTATTCTTAACAAAACAATGTTGTGCTGATTGGTACCTTAGAGAGGTCAGTAGAGGTTAATGTCTGGGAGATAAAACAAGCAGTCTGCGTAACCAACCATTGCTGGAAGGTGACCCCAGCAGGTAATTGGTAGGATAAAGCTGCACCAAAGTGAGAGGATGTTTACATCTCTATGTCTGAAGTGTGAGGAGGTGGGATTCTATAAAGGAGCTGGT